CCACAGGTCCAGCTGTTGTGTTGTCTTTGATTCTTTTATTCGGTGACTCCATTGGTCCTTCTGATGTGTTATATTATATTTTTTTATGTTTGGTGTCTCCGAGGGTCCAGCTGTTGTCCTGCCGTTTGTTCGGTGTCTCCACAGGTCCAGCTGTTGTCTTGCCGTTTGTTCGGTGTCTCCACAGGTCAAGCTATTGTGTTGCCGTTTGTTCGGTGTCTCCACAGGTCCAGCTGCTGTCCTGCCGTGTGTATGGTGTCTCTACATGTGCAGCTGTTGTATTTCATTTTGTGTGATGTTCCTTTTGTTATTTTGTGTTAATTCGGAGTTGGTTTTCCTTATGCGCTTAATTAAACACGTTTTTGACAACAACAAAAACAAGATGGTATCAATGTTAAACTGAAGTTTGCACAAGGGCTTTTTCTCTTGTTCTGTATGCTTTGTTGGCAGTTATGTCCTCTTTACCATACCTGTATTGAATCTTGTTTGAACTCCAACATATTTGTCCTTTTTGTGAATTTCAGTTGAGGCATCTGTCTGAACCTGTTATATTTTATCTCTATTATGATATGATATATTTTGTCCTGAGTATTACCCTCATTTCTCGGCCACATTTTTTAGTTATAATTAACCCAAAGGTTATTTATTTGGCTGTATTTTCTTGCAGTTTAAAGCCGGAAGCACCTTACTTACAACTGATACAGAAGCTTGTTTGAATTAACTTTTTTTCAAAAGATGTTTTCAATACAGTGACAATAATAATGGGTCAGTAATTCATTCAGATCATATAATAACCTATTTGTCACCAATCATCTTTCATATCAACACTCATACCATACAAATTATGCAAAGGTAGCAGTATACAGTAGAGGGTTGTGGCCATGGGTGATATTTTTGTTAAATGGCTAACCCCTGTATAATGATATGTAAAAAAAATATAAAAATAAAACTGTACTAAAATTGGTATAAGCATGATGAAGTGGGCTATGTGAGCTTCACATTTGTAAAAAGAAAGAAGATTTTTTTGGTTCGAGAATTAAGTTTTGGCCATAATCCGAAAGTGTGCGTACACATGAAAAGCTAGCTTTACAGGAGGTAAAAGTTTGACAACAGCACACGACGCAAAATTTAGAAAAAATAGGTTTATACACTTCTCAGTACTTTATATGTATTGTAAATGTAATGCAGTTTACAAATATATATGCATGGATACATGTGTTGTGTAGGGTAAATCCGCTGTGTTTACATTTCCTCGAAATGTGCCTTGTTAACAGAGTCGGGCCATTTCTACTGTATACTGCTACCATATACACATAGAACTTGATTTTTTCTGAAAAAAATGCCTTTTTATGCTTGATTCAGCTTCAATTTCTTTCATTAATACTTAAAACTACTCAAAAACGCCAAAAACCCCGTTACATAGATAGGTCAATATATAGGTCGATAGCTTGTTACCTGTTGATGTATAAAGAGGGGTAACTCGCGCTTTCACAGGCACTTGTGAAATTCTGCAATTCATCACATATATGTCAATTGTGTTATTGGTAAAATTGATACCAAACATCAAATAGTTCACAGGCTATCTCCTGATGCATTTATGCTAGATTTCAGTCTGTTTCACTCAGTTCAGCACCCGGTAGCCATGGGTACTAATACATAAAGTTGTATTTATTGAAAATGGGTAAAATATCTGTTTTCATTCTAATTACACTATTTTAGATGGTTTTTTTTTCCCACTTGGTACAGCATACAGATTAAAAAAGCAAAGTCAGTAATGTCAATACATTTTATTTCCATAATTACAGCTGAAGAAAATCTTTTTTTTCTAGCAAAATATGTTAAATGAACAATTTCTGTGGGTCACTGTCAATTCTAGGCGAGGAAAGTAAATAACGGTTGCTATGGTGGCACTTGTCTGATTTTTCAGAATATCTGACATTTCTGTGCTGTTCATCGGTTATGGGAAGTGTGTCTGTTGCTTGTTTGTTGTTGAGATGGGTTTCCTAGTGTTCAATTTTTTGATATCAGTAATCCTCGATGATGTCATAGATGCCCATTGATGACGTCATAGTTATGATGACATCACAGTTACTATGACGTCATCAAACAAGACAGTAACATCATAGTATCACTGTACTGTTTGTTTTCTACATGCACATGATCTCAAGGCATCATATTTCACCCAAAAAGAAATTTTATTCATGAAAACTACAAACCTATTCAAGTTTTCATTTTTCAGATTACCTCCCTTTGTTGGTAGTTTGAGAGCAGAATTGGTAAATAAACCTGTCAGGAGAATTCATATTACTCGGTCACTATTAAAGTGAGAAAAGACACGGATACATCGTTGTGTTCATTGTCTCATTTTCCAGACATTTTAAAGGTTTTAATTAAATTTTGGGAAAAAGAAAGTGATGTATAAGGTAGCAGTATACAGTAGAGGGTTGTGGCCATGGGTGATATTTTTGTTAAATGGCTAACCCCTGTATAATGATATGTAAAAAAAATATAAATAAAACTGTACTAAAATTGGTACAGGCATGATGAAGTGGGCTATGTGAGCTTCACATTTGTAAAAAAGAAAGAAGATTTTTTTGGTTCGAGAATAAAATTTTGGCCATAATCCGAAAGTGTGCGTACACATGAAAAGCTAGCTTTACAGGAGGTAAAATGTTGACAACAACACACGACGCAAAATTGCAAAAAATCAAGTTTTACAACTTTACTGGAACCCAGATGATTCTGCAACCAGGTAGGTAATCTTTAATTTCAGACAGAGCTTAGGAAAAAAAAAAAAATTTGCGGGGGTCAAATTTTGGGTTAAAAAAAGCAATTTTTGGCATTTTTTGGTAATTTTTGATGTGGTAACCATGGTTTTCACACAAGTGACATACATAGAAAAAATAGGTTAATACACTTCTCAGTATTTTATATGTATTGTAAATGTAATGCAGTTTACAAATATATATACATGTATACATGTATACAAATCAACTAATTTCATCCATTTCTTCCATTCATTTAAAAAAAAATGTAGACAAGGATCATTTTTACCATATGAAATACATTTTTGAACCACGTAGTTTTCTTTTATTACATTAGCTAGAGCCATGACAGAAAGAGTACCATGTATAGTTCTGGTTCTGTAGATATAGACTTTGATTAGAAGAAGAACTTCATTATCAATGCGATTGTAAATGCCTGTGTTATTTACCAAACCAAAAAACAATGTTTCTTTATTTATAGGTAATGTAATTGTTAGTGCATCTGGCAACCTTTTAAAACTTGCCAGAAAATTCTGAACCTCATCATATTCCAGAACATATGCACGATTGTCTCCCTTTCTCTACTACAGAAATTACAATTAGGATTGTTTGATAAGCCAATTTATGTGCATAAGAGTAAGTTGTTAGAAATATAGTGGTTAACCTTAAATTGTAGCCAACGGAGTTTAGAATTTTGAGATGATCAAAAAGGAAAACTTTATTTTTTTCCATTTCTGTTGGGTTTTTTTATAAGAAGAATACGAAATGGTTATACCCCTTAATTCTATCAATAGAGTTTTTAAAAATATTTGGTCATTAATTACAAATTCTATATCACCATTTCGAGATTTTTTTACATCATCAGGTTGGTATACAGGGAGGCAGTATTGCAGTTTAATGTTTGTTATTGTATTATTTATAAGATTAAAATAATCCTGGTCATGTAATAAGGAATTGTCAAAACCAAATAATAAACTGAAGGATAGTGATTGCAAAGTCTATCAATATATACAAAACAAAGCAAAAACATTACTGTTCTGACAGGTATATGTTTTTCGCACATATTCCAAAACCAAATACTACAAAAATCTTAAAGTTATTGAAATGTAGATATCGAACAACAGATTTAAGAGGAATTTCACACGGATAGTTTATTTTAGTGGTAAATGTGTTTATATTGTCATGAAAAGGCAGAGTTAGTCACACCTTTAAAACAAGAACCTACTCGGAACATTTAAAATAATTACCTCTTCTGTTAGACAATATTAAAATAAATCAAATCACTTTGCATTCAGTTGGACTATTAGATGCTGTTTATCGTAACTTCAAATTTCTATTGCAATAATTAAGTTACCCACTAATTGGCATTGGTGGACAATTTTAGTTTGGTAAATATAGAACATATGTGGGGCAAATAAAAAAATTACGTTAGCAATCTCTTATTTAGTGTTATGGCTGAAGAATAATGAAAATATGAATTTGAATGTTGAAATATACGTAATCGGTTAGATATTTCATAAACAAATGTGTTTCTCAAAACACTGACTGGATAGTGGTACACCTGGGATATCGGTAGCTATACGCACGGGGCTTGATCGTTATATTTACTGATTATCACACTTTGTTTTGATGGCTTTTTCGTGAGAACATTTTTTTCATCGCAAGCACGGGGAGGCCACTACATGTGAACCATGTGTCACAAAAAAAATCATTACTTTATGATGATAACTTTATGACGGACTATTTTCCTACGCGGGTCGCTTTTTGTGGATACTATTTGCTGTTCTGGATGTCACCTGGCGGGAGCGTACCGTTTTTTTTTCGAAAAGCAATACATTCCCAATTGAAAAAATACAATCTTAAGTTGTTTTCAAATTGTTCGCTAAGTCTTCTTGAGTATTCCCATGCTTAAAACGCACGGTAATGAATTTATCATGCTACCGGTTGGTGATATTAGGTAGTGTATAGACGATAATGAAGATTTCCTATATTCTGTATAAGAATGTAAGTGTTATCTCCCCTTACAACTCTCTACGAGTAACTGCTCTAAGAATGACCAGAAATCCATATGAATTAATTGACCGTTTTGATAAAGTCTATAGTATACATGACCTATTACTATATGTAGCTTTTCTTCTGTTACAGACAGCACAACACAACTTATATTAACAATAAATTCAATTCAATGGATATGAATGTTGAATTGTGATATTACATGTAGAAGAGGAGAAGTCGAGGATGGGATGTGCAACTTCTATGGCAGCAGCAAACCGATCAGTTGTTTCAACGACAGGGTCAAACCTTTTGACAAATAAACAGCGAGATATCATCAAGAAAACATGGAAAGTGATGTGTTCCAATATCACTGGACACGGCATAAAGGTTTTTCTCCGCATATTTCAACTCCATCCGCACGTCAAACAGTTGTTTCCTTGTAGAGACGTTGAAGGGGAAGACCTCTTACGTGATTCCAACTTTAAGGGACATGCCTCAAGATTTATGCAGGCTGTCGGAGCGGCAGTCGAAAACATTGATGACATAGAAGCAGCACTCACGCCATTACTAACTGGCCTTGGAAAGCGGCAAATACAGTATACAGGTTTTAAGAACGAATATTTCGACGCATTTACAGAGGCCATGATGTATGCATGGCATGAGGAATTGAAAGGACAGTTTTCCGGTGAAACAAGCCTGGCATGGGCGACAGTATTTGAATTCATAATGCACAAACTGAAGGAAGGACACGCGGCGGCATTAGCTAACAGGGATAAGGTTCAACAGAATTTAGTATCCAATGATCAGATCGCATCGAAGTGAAAAGTTATTATTACCGTGTTATTTCCAGCAAGCCAATTCATGTCAAATGATAAATGAAACATATTGTTTGTTGTTTTATTTTAGTTGTAGGTACGAGTTTAATCGTTAGATTGTTGTTGACCTCCTAGATTTGATGGGTGCCATATGTGGCATGGACACGCTTAACGTTTTGAGGCACTTCATTTAAAGCTAGTAATTTGCAGGTAAATGTCTTTGTTTTTGTTTTTTGTAAAACAAGGAATCTTCGTCAAAAATCATTTCTTTTATTTAAAGAGAGAACAATACAAATAGTAATGTATACATAAGATATAAAACATTCGTGCAGAACTAACTTTGGACGTTTTCCATTATTTCAGTCTAATGTTTTCCCTGGAAATAAAACAATAATACAATTATATATTTCATATCAAATTTAGGATCTTACAATATGTGCTTTTATTAGAACAAAAAATCACACGTGTCCTGAAATAAAAATGAAATCAATACCTGCTCTCAAGAGAAAATAACTCTGCAATACGCAAAGACGGAATTGCTTATCTGAAGTTACATGTAAGTAAATAGACAGAAATATCTGGCAATTGAAGCATATAATGTGTTGTTTCATTCACATTTATATTGCAGTATCTGTTTTTATAAGGAGAACAAAATTTAACTACATGAGACCACTTTAAGATATATAAATAAACTATATTCTGGACAGTGTTTCTAAAGTATCGCTCTTGAAATCAATTGCGAAATAAATGGTTGATTATATTTCTAGCATAACAAATAGCCTTAGCCTGATGCTAAAATAATGCAGTAAAATGCAAAAATAGAAATTTGTGATAATGAAACCGATATAATGTACCTTGTCTGACCTTGCCTTTTATGCTATTAACAGTGACCTCATGTACATACAAAGTTATGTAGTTCTCAAGATTGTATAGTGCTAGCTACCTGGTTTATAGGTTGTAGATCAGATATTTTTTATATACATTGTATAATGAATATATGAGAGAAAAAATACTTTCTCACTATTTGGTTGTTTCTTTCTTACATTTGTGGTTGGAATTTGAGAATCAAGTAATAATTAAACAACTTAACTGAAAAAAAATCTGAGACAACATAAAAATTAATTACCGATATATGTGAACTTTCATGTTTGGAAGTAAGTTGTATATTGATGATCAATTCCTGTCGAAGTTTGGCAAGATATTTACTGTCGTAGAGATACTGTAGATGATGTGATTATTTTTTCCCATATCAGAAATCTAATTAAGTCTAATTTGTAGCTCAAGAGAATTCAAAGTCATTTCACAATGTCCAGTATCCATGCATAGAAGTTATATGGCCCTGATACAGCTAACAATTGATTGAAATAGGATTTTAAAATGCTGTAAGGATATTCTACATTCTGCTATTTTTATTTGACTTCAGCAAGGAATCATTATCGTGATTCTTGAACAAATATCAGCATGATTCTTTAAACTTACCAAATACTAGCAGAATCCCAATATTTAAGATTTCTTTGGTTAGTAATACTTATTTTATATTAACAAGTCATTCTTCACCCGCTGATCAAAGATTGTGTATTACTGTAACAGGGAGTAATAATTGTCCAAGTCAGCAGCAAACCTGCAGCACTCAGTGAGTATCATTAACTCATTCACCCCTACAATTTTAATCTGGACTAGCCCTGTCATTGATTTGGCAAGGTTCAAATGTGACTTTAGAGGTGAATGAATTAATGGCCAACAGGACTTTAGAGGTGAATGAGTTAATGGCCAACAGTAACTATTGTGTAACAGATATTGAGTGTTTTAACATTTACCCCCTTTTTCGTGTTTCTCTCAAGAGCAAAGTGCACTTGTTAGTTTGTATTGGTATGCTGTAAATATGCAAAACTTATATGTCAGGAAAAATGTGACAAATTGATGATGTTTTTGTTACTAAATTTCCTATTCCACGTAAAACTTGCACTTCACAATGTGTTAGGATCACTCTCAGTACCATCCTTGATACTACAGGGGTTATGCTCACTTTTGCTCTCTGCACCCCTGGAATATGTCATAGCAAACTTGAAGGCACATGTCTAGCTATTTGATTGGTCTCGGGTTAAAAGACATGACCAATCGCATGCCTGATACCAGTCCTTTGAAGATCACAAAGAAGCGACACCCGACTTCAAAGCCAGTCAATTTGTCAAATATTTTTTCTCGTCTCATCCACAAGGTGACACACACACTTAGCCTTCTATTTTGCTATGACATATTACAGGGGTCACAGAGCATAAGTGAGCGTAACCCCTGGAGTATCGCGGATGTCTCAGTACTTTCGAAAATTACATAGATGTGAAATTGCGAAAAAACACCCAGCAAAAATATAGGCTGTGGAAACTTTATGTATACATGTAGCTCATTGCTGGGTCAATTGATGAATTTGATATTTTATGTCATCAGCTACCATAGAGCTACAATCTCCAACTTGGCATGAAAGCAGAGTACTTGGAGAAAACCCATGTGGTCAGGCAGGGGATCCTGTACCATTTTACTTCCGATCAGGAAATCAGACCCCGAGTGTCTTGTTGAAAGATGAATGTACAGACCCCTACATGTACATGTGCCATCATTTGTGTCATTTTGCATAGTACAATTGTAATGGTGTGAAATTATCAAAAACAAGTCCCGAACAGTTCTGTAACAGGTACCTACCTGTCTGATATTGTACCTGTATGATGTATGATATTGTCAGGGTCCTGCTGATTGCTATGTCAGACAGTACAGCAACCTATACACGCCTTGTTCATATATATTTGCTACGCTATTTTATGAATGAGATATATATGCATCTTTTTAATAAGAACTAATTGTATAAATGTTCATTCACAGATTATGATATTTATTATACACACATGTATATATGCTATTTTTGCTGCTTTATAAATGCTTATTGTTAATAAAGTGATTACTGATACAGATTATACATGGTTGTAATGATCTAGTAGTTTTCATTATTATTCTACTGGTTCAGTATTTCAACCGGAGGTAAGCTCCATTTTATAACATCATGAGTTATATATACCTTATTTTGATTACCTAGCTATAGGTGAACCTTCATTATATTGTGGGTAAAAAATGGTTTGATTGGATTGTAAGTAAATCTAGATAAATTGGATGATATTGTAGATTTATTAGCACCTTCGGATTAAAGGTAAACACAGCTGTTGAACTGTAAGTTAACCTACATATGTAGATTTAATGGATTATAAGTAATGGATTATAGATAATACTAGTGTAATGGCCGGGTCATAGATGAGTCGTTGTCTTTTGGATTATAGGTAGAGTTTTGCTCATTTTCTTTTTATCAAAGATGAACCTAGCTATATTGGATTACAGGTAAGCTACCTCTGTTGAATTAAATATAAATCTAGCCTTATTGGATAATAAAAATCTATGTCTGTTGGATTAAATATGCTCCAAGTCCAGACTCTTGGATTGAAGGTAAACAGCTTGGTGGGATTACCAAAAATACATTTAGGCTAATTGGATAATGTAAACATAGAGTGCACCAAGTCCAGGTTATTGGGTTGTATTGTAGGTTAATTTCCTTTTTATATTTGAATGTTAACATAACCCTGTTAGATTTTAAAGCAGATTTAGCTATATTGGGTTTTAGGTAAACTTGACTCTATTAAATTGTAAGTATATCTTGTTCTTATTAGATGATGGGCCAGACTAGCTCTATTAGATTATTGCTACACATTGATCTACTGACCGAGCTTGTTCAATTAGAGTATAGGTTGAATTAGCTTAATTTGGAGATTTATAAAAACTGTAAACTTTTTCCTACTGGATCTCGGTTAAACCTATAGCTAGTTGTATCTGATTATAGTTAAACCTACCTAAATAAAGATGAAGGGACAAAATTCAAAATGTCTTCTGTAATGGACACGAAAAATGAACTGATTAGCAAAGTGCACTTTTGATGTAAATGTAAAATGTTATTTTGACTTAACTGCATCTTTGTTTATCTACTCAATATTCAAATGTGATGTTTCTGTGATGAAGATTTATTAACAGGATCTCCAACAAAACCCCATGGGATGTGCATCATTGCAGATGTCGCTCACCTGGCAAGAAGCCTAACTGAGCTTACCCAGTGACGTAGCATCTGTCGTCAATATTTTACTTTGAAACCACATAATAACCAATTATAGGTGTAGAGTAATGGTATTTTGCCAATAACATGCTGGGATGGATGGCTCTCAAACTTGTTCAAATAAACGACATTGACCTTCTTTCAATGTAACGGGGGTCATATGACTCCTAAGGAAGGGATTTATGAGATTGTTCCAATGACTCTCGAGGTCACAAAGGAAGTCCAATTGTGAGGAATGAACATATCTTTCAAAAAATAGATCCATATTGTGTAAAATAATAACAATTAACCTTCGTTAAATAATTGTATCTTTGGCTGATTTTTTAAGGTCACAGATGTGGAATGAATAACAGGTTAAACAATGCAGGCTCATTTGGCCTCTTGGTCTCTTTGTTTTAAATTGTAACAGTTTTATCTCCAGTCTCCATCGTACAACGACGACAAAAAGAATCCGTAATGAAAGCTAATCGTAGTCAGTTAGGAAGAAAAACACACGATCGCGAAAAAAGGTCATCGGCTTACGGTAATTGAACAAAATGGCTTACGCTAGTTGTATTGGTCAGCAGGCGAGTTATATTCTCTGTTAGTATTAGCCTGATAAATAACGCACTTGCTAGTCAGGGTTAGCTTATTTTACACAGGTGCGCCTCGTGTGATTGAATCAAAATCAGCGATATTGACAAACCTAATCCGATATCACGCCATCATCTGACGTAAATCATATTGTTTAAAATCAGTTTATTAGCCTTAAAAGTATTTCAGATAGAAAGTTACAGAAGGTAATTGTGGTTAAGGTATTGCGATCGTGCTTACACGTCACGTGTATTAGCTAGCTGTCGTCCCGATGTTAATCAAATGACTTTATATTCCATTAGGTGTAATTATTGCTACAATTCGCTAATGGTAACCGATGGACGCCGCGGATAAATCAGAGATAGGTAGACATACTGGATCAATAGTCTGCGACACAGAAACTGTTTGTCTTGAGGTTTTTCTATGCGTCATCAGCTTTAAATGTTGGTGATTTCATCTGCTAATATATAGTGAAAAAGAACACAGTTTAATGCATAATACTAGATGTGGCCATGATTATTTCATCGCCCCTTTATACGATAAATTTCATACATTTCTACATTACTGAGTTTTCCTGAAGTCGTTGGTAGTGCTATTGAAACAAAATTCAATAATATGGTGGTTTTTTTTTAATATTCTTCTTCCAATATTGTCATTGATTTTTCCGTTACTCGGTTTTCAATATATAAGTGTATGACGTATTATCCAGGAAAAAACATCTCTGCACCATTTTCTTATGTGCCTTACTAAATTGTATTACGAAATCATATTTCCCAGATTATCTTATGAGACAAACAGAGAAATTGAAAATTTAGCGTTATGAACATTCAGAAAATTGTCTTACAGTAGACAAAAATGCCTTGATATCATTAAAATGACTTAAGAATTCAATGAAATATCCAATAAATCATTAGATATATTGTCAATTGATAAAGGGTTGTGAAATATGTGTGGCCACGAACTGTAGTTCAGAGCGGTAAAAGAGAATATCAAATACAGTTTTAGCACAAATTTGGCCTCACCTCATAATAAAAAAAAAAGCATAACCTGTCTTTACAGCCATCAAGTGAGACTGAATCCAGCGTTGAATGTCTGTTTGGCAGCGCAAGGTCGGGACAGAAGGTTTTCTTAACAGTAATGATACAGAAAATGTCGCTGTTAAGGCTACCAGAGTAAACAGGAACAGTCCGAACGGTTTATTGAAAGTGACATGGTTCTTCGATTAGTCCTCGCTTGAAGGGAGCGTTTCAGTCATGCTTGGGTTCCCTTTCACTCAACGGTTGAATGTCGGCTATATTAG